CTTGCAAGCACCTGCAAAAAGACCCTGCCTGTCCCCATCCATCCATCCATCCCTCCATCCATCCATCCATCCATCCATCCATCCATCCTCCCACCCCACAGTGCCACCACACCTCCTGTCCCCAGGCCACCTCCACCCCTGGGCTTCACTGCAAGGTTTGTCTGCAAAGCAAAGGGAGGGGAAGGTTCTCCTGTGGCTTCACACCCCTTCTGCACCCAGGGCTCAGCAAAGGCCACCAGGAGCCCTCAGGCTGATGCTTTATTTCTCTGCTCAGTGCTTTGGGCTGTCTGATGTGCAGAAAACCCCGTGTCCTCTGAGGCTGCCATTAGCACTGGTTTGCTCCCTGGGTGCTGCTCAGCCCTGTAATCTGTTTCTGAGGTTGTGAAAAAGCCCAGAGCAGAGCTGGTGTGGCTCTGACACCCACAGCTCCTCACTAGCTGGAGGAAATGGGGTAAGAGACAGCAGAGAATCAGGTCTGTCAGTTAAAATAATTGGATTTTAACTGCAACACTGCTCACTGTTTTGTCTGATGAGGCCCAAAATAAACTGCATTACATCACTGCAGGTCACACTGAGCTAATAAGGGTCTCCTCCTCACACTGGGAAAGGACATTTTTGTGTCCCCTGTGTTTTCTCCAGTGCTTTGCAGTCAGAGCTCCTTCCAACTGCGTGAGTGCAGGGGAAAATTAATTCAAACTGCTGCCCAAATTATGCAAGAGCCTTATGGAATGGAAAGTGCACATTAACAGATTTTACTATTTTAGGGTGTTCTTTTATGTCTCATAATTTATTTTGCCATCATATTTGCAGACAAATAGGAAACAACACAGAAGCCAAGTCATCCTTGAGGGTGCTGACAGAAGAGAGTACAAGAAAATAGGCACCTCCAGAGAAATGTTACCTGAATAAACCACAGCTCACCTGAATAGTGACAATATGATCCAGCCCACAGCACCATAAATACAGGAATACAATCCAACAGAGCCTACAGCCTCAACCATCACTGACTTGGCTAATATGCCCAAAGTTTTGCCTGTATCTTCCAGCTTTCTCAGCAGCTCCAGTGGAAGCTCAGAGTAGCACCACATTATTTTACTCTGCAGCCCAAGAGGTCATCCCACCCATCTGTGGGTGTACCAGCCAAATAATCCCAGCCCTCCAACTTCCACCCCAAAGGACAGGGTTCAAACCTTCACCTGCTGCAAATCTGGATTCCTCCAACACTTTCATGGGACCTATGACAATTTTCATCAGCTGAGGAGCCCCAGCTTCCCAAGATCAATGGTTGAAAACAGTGAAGTCAAAGTTCAAAGGGAAAACAATTCCCATTTTTTCTCAGCCACATTCCCATTCTCTCATCTGTAGCTTGAGATGCATCAGAGCAGCTGCACCTTGACCAGATTTTGCTGGTCATCACAGTGCTCCAGCCCTGCAAATACTACTCCCTTTTGCTTGCTCCACCTCTCCCTTGGTTAAAATAAATCCCTTTGATTAAGAGAAGTCAAGAGCACCCAACTGAACTAACTTCCAGCAGGTTTTCCTGGAAGCACTGCCGTAACTGCCATCTATCAACAGCAGTGGAAAACAACCAAGCTTTTTAAAACTGATCAAAATATTTTTAAAATTTAGCAAACCTTGCAATTGCTTTGAGATACAGATCCAGACTTTGATGGCAATTAGGAACTGTCCCCTGTTTCCAGGAGAATTCAGCACCCATGCCCCATTAAACTCCTTTAGGAGGGACAATTAGTTGGAAACTGACAGTAATTTTGCCAGTTCATTTACCAGAAAGGATAAAGCCAACCTGAAACAGGTTAATGTGAGAGTCTCAAGACTGGAATCATTCTGTGCTGTTGTACAATAAATGTACTGCTAGAGAAAGGGACATGGTCATGGTGTTAATTAGGATTGCTGGGGTGTAAATAATGTTTTGTTTCATGAAGTCTGGCCAGGGCAAACAAATTATTTAGCTCATACTGCAGCTGAATGAAGAGCTCAAATGTATCAGAGGGTGTCTCTGAGAATCAATAGTGGATCACTGAAACATTTAATCACAGTTTTACTGATCTCACTGCACCATCTCAACTCTCCAGTCAATGGTGCTGATAAACTCATCAACCACAGAACCATCAGTCTGAAACACCAACGGGGCACAGGAGCTGAAGGCTGGGAGCAGCACATGGGCCTGTGCTCCAAGGCTTCCCAGGGCAGCAAGGAGCTCTAAATCCCCCTTACAGGAGTTTCCACAGTGATCTCCCCCAAGGGTGAGTGGCTGTGACTGCACAGACAACAGCACATCCCCGAGAGGGATATCTCCCTGGGGGCTGAACCAGGACCCAGGGATCCACAGCCAGGCTCCTTTCAATGCCCAGCACTGCCCTCACTGGGGATTTCTGCACATGGGAAGTGTCCTTGTTTCCCAGTTCTGATCCTGCTACCTGGCATCACTCTGCATCCCACGAGGAAGATGTTTCCCAGCAGTTTGGGAGACATGCAAGACCCTTTGGGGCAGCTGCTGCCTTTGCATCCCACACTGCCTTTTATTCATCCCCCTCCCCAGCAGCTGAAGTTTGCTGCATCCTCCTGCCAGGCTGCCCTGCACATCTGACACTCCTGTCCCAAGGCTCATTTCTCCTGGGTCTGGCAGTTCAGCTGTGATAGCTTCTGCTTGGCATCTACAGGCTCCAGACAGTCTCTCCCCAGAGGACGTTCTGAAAGACACTGAATTTCTGACCAGGGTTCCATCAGGCTGCCTGGAAAAGGATGTCACCCAAAACTATTCCAATATAGAATTTTCTTATTTTTCATGCAATTATTGAACAAACATCAGAATGCAAAATAGCCTCTGGGATTGGAAAATGGAATTAAATTTTCCAGCAAACATGAGAAAATGGATACTGACATTTCTATCAGCAACAAAATGTTTCATGCTTAGAAACTGGTAACCTGACACTGCCCCAGGGAATTCAGGAGGGCGAGGAAAAATGGTCTGAGACAGCACCAGGAAGGAACAGAGATAGAAACACACCCCAGTGAGACACAGCTGGATGTGGGGTGGGCAGGAGGACGCCCTGGTGTCACTGCCACCTGGGTTTGTTCACAGACAGCTCAGGTCAGTGCAGAAGAGGAACAGCCCAGATGCTGTGCCATCCCCAGCTGTGCTGAGCCCGGCAGGAGCGGGCACAGGGCCAGCAGCAGTGACAGAACAGCCCCACGGCACGGGGACGGGACAAGAGCTGCCCAACACACCCAGGAACATTTCTGCTGGGCACACGGCCTCGGCAGTGCTGAGCTGGTGCTGGACTGGGTGACATTTACAGGATGAATGATTGTGTGCATTCAGAGTGCTGCCTTCCTGCAGCACACAGGGCTTTCCCCGGGCTCCCTTCTCAGGACACGACCCCAGGAAACATCCAAGCCCCAGCCTGAGAGCTGAAAACTGCATCAGCAGCTGGTTTGCAGGACAGGCTGGAAGGAGGAGCACTTTTTGGCACAGGGTGAAGCAGCCACAGCTGGGGGCTGTGATGGTGCAGCAGAAGGGGAAAGCTGGCACTGGGAGTTTGGGGTGTGCATCCCCAGCTTTCTTTTGCTGTAACATCAGCCCGGTGCCCCTCAGGAGGAGCCACCTCAGAATTTACTGTCCAGAACAAGCAAGAAATGACATCCCAGCTGCACAGGTCATTTGTGTGGCTCCTGTGCTGGGTTTTGGAGGTAGTGCCATTCTCAAAGACATTTCACAACCTAAAATCACTTATACACCACTTACACGATGCCCACCAGCCTGCTTCTCTTCCCCTCCTCCTCCCCAGAGCACTGCTCACTGAAAATGGCTCACCCTCTTCTCTTCCAGTCTGTATTTAATGGCTTTTGAACTTCAAAGAGAGGTGAGAAAACCCTATCACTTCAGCATGCAGTCAAATATGATGCAGCCACGTTGCTGAAGAACACCTACAAAATATGCTGCTAAAATAAACTCCCCTTTGAATTCTTCTTATAATATCTTTCAGAGAGCTCGGAACACACTGCCCTTCTTCCCACACAGCACTGAAGCACCTACTTCACTTTAACCAGGTACACACTCTTCTCAGAGTCGAAAGGACTCATCATGTGCTTAAAATTATTCATTTTCCTCAAGTAGTTGGTTGAATCCCAGCTTTTATATCCAGAAGTTGCACGGTAGAAATTGGAAACAGTATTCTTGGGTGGGTATTATACACACATTGGCAGATACATTCAAAAATTATCTAAGAAATCAAACTATTTATTGTTAATAGAACACGTCCGACTCCAGCAGACAGCTTTTTAAAAAATCTGAAATAAAAATGCACCTAATGTACTCTCTATGAATATGGATACTCCCCACACACTCTGTGCCTCATGTACACAATACAGCAGAGCTGAAATGCTCAAAACATAAATTGAGAATGTATGAGATCAGAATTTAACTGTGGTTTTCATAACAGCAAACTGCTGGAGCTACCTGCATATTATTAGTCTTGAAAAGCATCATGAAAATAATATTTTAACCTTTAATCTGTAACATGGTCTTTGCTAATAAAATTATCCCAGAGTCATCCAAGCACATAGCTGGTGTCAACTACTTAATATGCAGAATAAATTAAATGCCACTTACATATAGCAAAGAAATGCCCAGCTAATTTAATGCACTTTCACGCTGGTGCAGCCACACAGCAAACACAGCGGAGCTCTGTGTCTCCTCTTCAAATCCTGCAAGATTTGTGATCAACCCTTCTGCAAGAAAATCACCCAACCCACTGCTCTGCTACCCCAGCCCCTGGCAAGGCCACGGTCACCTGCTGGAAGGAGCTCTGGAAGGAGCTCTGGAAGGAGCTCTGGATGGAGCTCTGGATGGAGCTCTGAGAGGAGCTCTGAGAGGAGCTCTGAGAGGAGCTCTGGAAGGAGCTCTGGATGGAGCTCTGGATGGAGCTCTGAGAGGAGCTCTAGATGGAGCTCTGAGAGCAGCTCTGAGAGGAGCTCTGTCACAGCAGCTGCACCTTTGCAGCTGCAAAGCCCTGAGTGTGCTGCAGGGAGAGCGGTGCCACTGCTGACACCTGCAGCATCCTGCAAGGACAGGGACAGGTCCCTGGGAGAGAGGGGGACGTGCTGCACACAGCCAGCACCACCAAACCAGGCTGAGAGTGCTGCTGCTCTCCAAAGCACATCTGCTGCTGCATCTCTCCCAAGCAAAGGTCACCTCGAGGACACAAACACCCTTTATCTGCACTTCAGTCCACCTCACACCTCCTGCTCCAGAAACAAACCCTTGGCCTGACTCGCTCCTGGTGAACAGCCCGTGGAAATCAACAGAAAGACTTTGCTTTGTTTCCATCAGGCATCCAAATTCCCAATATTCCCAATCAAATACAAGGAATGCCAGGAGGGATCTTGTGCAAAAGACCATACTTACTTCTGCTTAAAGACAGGCAGGCAATAATCAACATAAAGAACATATCAACAGAGAGGAAGAACATGGAAGGTGCTGGACATCGAAAAACTTATCTGCCAAAAGTGTCTTTCACTACCTGCAGAATAAGGCTCCTGCTTCTCACTGTGGATGAACTCTTTTCGTTCATATTTGGCTCTGATCCACTGCTCCCGCAGTAATCTGGAAAAAAAAATACAGAGAGAAGGAAACATGGTCCAAGATACACTAAGAAAGAAGTCAAACAATTAATTCTTCAATGAAAGCACAAGTGTGATTCAAAAGTCTTTCAAAAATTGCATTGTACAGTCTGGAGTCAAGGGTTTCTTCTGTTTATAGCTGGACAACAATAAATCATTTCCTTGTACATCCAATTTTATTGGAAACTTATTTTAAAACAATGCACAGATTTAGCAGAGCAGCCTGTCCCCAGCCACCCACCCAATCAGCCTCTGTAAAAAATTCCCTCAGTATATGAACCATTTTAGGCCTAATTTTCTCAGGCCACATACTTCAGTGAACAGGGTGAGTAAATGAAAAATCCCAGCCCCATACAAAAGAGAGATTAGTGCCCTGAAGATATCAATACAGAAGCAGAAGGTGCTGAAAACCCATCTGGCCAAGCTCTTCCAAACTCACAACCCATAATGCCAAGTTTAAGGAAGCAGTCTATGATGCATGGCAGCAAATATGATTAAAAAGTCCTTTACTTTTAACACTGAAATAATACAGATGACCTATCCACCAAGATCACAATTTCCAAAAAGGAAAAAATACCCCAAAGACTTTTTTTTTTTTTTTAGCTATTTTATTTCAGCATGAGGGCTTGAACCAATGAAGTAACTTTGATCTGGAATATGCTGGAAGTTGCTTCAAACCATTTTTAACTGAACTTATTTCCTAATTGCCCTAGAACCCTAAATAGCCCAAGCAGGCAGATCACACTCAGAAATAAAGGCATGTGTTATCCCAGCTTCACAGCAGACATTTTGGAGCTGCCTACACTGAAGACAGTAAAAGATCCCCCAGCACTGAGTGTGTTTTGTAAAACCATCACATTTCAACACATCAACTTCTCTGCCAATGAAAACTATTCATATGCTTAATCACCTTTTCTTTTTTGCTGATTATGCAAACTAAATGGTATCTTTTCAGCAGCCACATCCCAGAAATGCTCAAAGAATATAAACATACCAACACTGCTTATGAAAATTCATCTGCAGGTACAGCAAGCACATTCAATAAATCTGCAAGACACTGTCCAGTGAGAACTGTGTGACTGGTTTCCTGGCAATAAAGGAGGAAATAATTACATAGATTTTGTTCCCCCAATTGTGTCAGCTCCTTGGTTGGGGCACCAGCCTTCTCCCCAAGGCTCAGGGAGCACCACTGCTTCCCTGGCCCCAAAACCCAGCTGTGAGCTCCTGCTGTAATACAAACAACGCACCAGGTCTGCCTCTGCCCTGCTCCTGCTTCCATGACTGATCTTCAGCTGTTACCCATCTGCCAAGTTTGACTGTGAGCTCTGAGCCCATCTCCCTCCTGCTGCCATCCTGTGCTGTGCTCTGGTCTGGTGCAACCCATCCCCAGGGGTTCAGGTGCGCTTTGTGCAACCACAGAAAGCTTGGAAGGGACCTTAAAGCTCATCTAATTCCAACTTCCCTGCCATGGGGGTGCTCAAACCCCATTCAGCACCCAAAGGGCTCCTCTGGGTCCAGCAGGATGCCTTTTCTGGATCTGATATCCACAAACACAGAAGCCTGATGACCCAAAAGGTGGCACCCAAATGCCTGTTCTATAATGCTGTCCCAAATCAGCAGAGCTACCAAAACTTAATCATAAAATCAACACAAATACTTGAATTTACTATTCTTCTTGCAATTTTTCCTGGCCAGCTGCTGTGGACAGCTTGTTATCACTGAAGCCAAACTTGGACCTTTTCAACAAGATGACTGGGGATCGAACTGGGAGGAAGAACATTCACACCACCCTCAGCTCCAGCTGACGTCAGTGGATCCAGCAGGAGCTGCAGCTGCTCCGAGTTCTGAGAGTCAGCCTTCCAGCATGGGGCTTTAAATACAGCATAAATTAAGGTTCATGTGCAGCAGTGGGAAAACTCTCCTGCTGCAGGATGCAGACTGTGCAGCAGACACCCTGCAGGGCTCATCCCTGGGGGAACATCTCCCTGCCTGCCCGGAGCGCTGCCCTCAGCATCGCTGCAGGGGCCCCAGAGCTCTTGTGCAAGAGGGCACCCCCGGGGCAGCCAGCAGGCACCACACCCCAGGGGAGCCCTGAGAAGCTGCAAAATGTTCTAGCTGGCCTCTCTCAACATCTGAACCTGAGCAGGAGTGGCTGCAATGGCAGCTCCCAGAGCACACGGAATCCAGCTGTGCCACCTTCCCAGCAGCTTCCTGGCATTCACACACTCTTCCCTTTTCTTTACCATCACAAACCCAGGCTCTTTCAGCAATAACTTCCCAAAACCCAGAACACACCAGAGAGCAGCCCACAGCTTGGACAACTCAGTGCAAGGCCACCAGCTGCAGCTTCTGCTCCAGTGGTTATTTATAGAAAGCAGAACAACTCCAGCAAAAGAAACCAAAACAAAAACCCAACCAGGACAGCGAGGAGTTCACCATCTCCCTTCCCTGCAAGAGAGAAGCTGAGCAGGGATTTCACCACATTCACTCTCTTGGACTAGATGCAATCCTGCCATAAAAAGCTGCTGGTGCTAAACCCCAGTTTCACCAGCACAGCTCCGATGAATTCATACAGGAGCAGGAATGTGTCCTGGGATCTGCAGGAGCTGAGAGCAATTCCAGGGCAGAAGATCCTCAAACCACACAGGGATTGTATGAAAACAGCCACCACTTTCAGTAGACTGCTGACCTCATCTTAATTTAAGTATATGTTCAGGGACTTCAGAAATATCTCTTTTAGTTGAAATGTACTTTTCCAGGCGTGAATAAGTGTGTATGTAACCCAGGGCAGACATCACACACCCAACACAGGAGCCTTCATCCACATCCACCTTTGACTCCAAAAGGAGTTCTGTGACCAGAAAGGACTGCAGTAGCAGCCCCCTGGTATTTTACTGCATTTCTGGTGATGGGATAATGTAGCAAATCAGCAAATATATTATTTGTGTTTGTTAAAAAAATGTAAGTGCATCATTCCTAAACTGTGGAGATGCACAGCTTTCAGGATCAACTCCAAAGGCTTTAACAGCCCACCTAAAGTCTGTCAGGCTGCTGGTTACAGGGAACTTGTCATTTTTTGGCAATTAGAATAGAAAAGTCCTTGTACTCATCAAAAACCTAGAGGCAAAAAAACCCACCAAAAAACCGAAAACACTAAGGAAATCCACATTTTCACCAAAATAAGGGAAAATTCATCCCCCAAATGGGAAAGGACTGAGCTTGACTGAGGGACAGCAGGTCCAGAGGCTGACAAAGCACTGCCAGCACCACTGCAGGCACTTGCTTGCTTTCCTGGCCACCCACATGAACACAAGGGCTCTGCCCAGGGGCCAGCGAGGAAGGTTCCAGAAGAAGCCACTGGAGCAGTTTTATCTTGATCCCACCTACTCAAAGCTCACAGCAAAAAGCACCACAGGAAAAGCTGCTCAAGCAGTTTAATATCAAACTGTGGCTGCATGGCTTCAGTGAGCTGTGTGGAGGAGGTGCTGGCCAGCCAAATTCAGTCTCCAGTTTATTTTTTTTCCCCAAGACTGATTTTTTCTTAGCTGGGCTGGTGCACTCCAGAGCACACCCACAGATGCTGCACATAGAAACCGTGGCTTTTCTGGAGACATATGACAGACAAGAAACCCCAGCCAGAGGTGAAAGTGGCCCAAAAGACATCAAACACCACACACTACCACTGCATAACTGCATCCTTGTGAGGCACCATCAGGTCCAAGAAAGACAAAAGAAATGAATGTCATCCAGAAACACCATTTCCAGAAGCCAAATTTGTAGCTTCTGGAATTTGTCAGAGGGTTTTCCAGCAAAAGCCAACATGCTTTCCACGGGCAGCTTGGTGGATGCAGCTATGCCAGGTTTCTGTCAAACAACTGCTCTAATGAAATTTTAAGTCAGAGTCCAAATTCTTTGCTCAGACTACAAGGAGAGCCACTGCAGCATAAAAAGCCTGTCTAGCTTCACACTCTCTTCCTATCTAGTAAGGTCTTGCTGTGAGGACTTGCTTTTAAAGGGCTTTGTGGAGGCATGAGACAGCTGGGGGCTTCTTCAGGCTCTCTGTGCATCACCTCAGCTTGCAGAGCCTGAGGATTGATGTGCCATCCCCCTGCCAAGAGCAGCACCCCACAGCAAGCTGCCAGAGGAGAGCAAAAAGACAGGGGTTTGGCTCTCAAGGCATAAAGCCCTTGCATTATGGATCTGAAGAAGTTAAAACTGAGTATGCAAAAGTTAAAACTGAGTATGCAAAATCACAACATTCTCAGTTAAAAGGCTAGCAGGTTCCTTTTTTTATTGATTGCTTTACATGCACTGTCCACTACACCCCAACACTATTTTTCAGAACAGTTAAACACCAATTAAAAACATGTAGGAAACAGCCTCTGTCAGAACTACCTCAACCTTGCAGCAATTTCCTTTGGAAATTAAAGGAATCAATATGAATTAACAGGTTTACAAGCTAACAGCAAAGGGAACATGAACAAGAAGAGAAAATCTTGTGGCTGGTCAGGATTGAAGGACTGGGCAGATCTCAGCACTTGGGTGACTCGAAGAATTCCCGAGGCTGAGTGCCCAGTTTGAGGCACCAAGGAGGCTCCACCACCTGGGAATGAAGTGATGAGCAGCCACTCCCAATGGCCACACTGCAGCACCTGAAACTTTACACCCAAGACTTCTGAAAGCTGTGAACAAAAAATCTGAAAACGCTTATTAATAACTATGAACCTGAGCAAATCTCAATTTTACCCCTGTGGACATTATGTAATGAAGGTTTTATATCTATAAAGTTTTTTATCTATTTATTTTATGATTTTTTATTATTTATTTCATATTTATCTATGAAATAATGGCAAAAGGAGGTGACAGAGGAGGTGGTGAGAAGTTTGCATCCCTGAGTGCCACAATACCCAGGCATGGCAGAGCAGGGGCCATGCTGACCTTCCCACACCAGACTGAGGTGATGGGCTTGGTAACTCCTCCCCCAAATGTACCAAGCTTCAAATGATAAAAAAAAAAAAAAAAAAAAAAAAATCCAGAGATCTACCAGGCAATTTTCCCTCTGCACATCTCAATCAATACAAAAAGGCACTTCAGCTAATAACTGTTGTTTTTGGACGAGTACAGGGATGACTCCTCAAGACGTGTGCCCCTCCCTGCCTGAGGTCTCCTCTCGCTGCAGATACCACAGAGCCAGCCCAGCCCAGGCCATCCCACCCTGCCCCAATCTGCTGTGCTGACAGGCAGCACCCTGAGCTGCTCTGCACGAGGAGCAGATGTAGCTCCCACTTATCCAAGCAGAGACAGGAGCAGAGCAAAGCACTGCAGCTCGCTCTCAATTCCAAGGGATGAGGCTCTGCATTCCCAAATCAAGCAACAGAAAACCATGGTAAGTGTTGGGCAGGGACAGGGATGTACTGCCAGCTCTGCAAAAGCCCAGTAAGAGATTATCTCACTTTCTTCTATCAGTTTTAAGCTAGGTAAAAGACTGAACAAAGCCTTTTTCCATTGCTTTTACTCAAGATGAGTACCTGCTGCTGAGTGGTGACTCAAAACTCTGCCATGTGCTTGCAAGGCAGCTGCCCCACAAAAATCTGTTTCACAGCTCTCCATCTGCTGCTGTGGTGTACCAAGCTGGGCCACGACCCTTTGTGACCATCCAGAGAGAGCTTTTGTGGTTTAAATTCCACACCCAAAGCTCTTTGGGCCAACATTGTGGTGGTGTGGGAATATCCCAGAGTCTGGGACTCATTTCACTGCTAGAAACTCCCCAGAGGAACAGGAGCTGGCTGCTCTGGTCACTGTCCCTGGGGCATGGATGTTGGCAGACAGAGAAGATGAGAGGAAAGGGGATTTTTTTTGTTTGTTTGTTTTGGGTTTTTTTTTGGTTTGTTGGGGTTTTTTTGGTGGGGTAATTTTTTCGCCTACAAACTTTCCCTGGGCAATTCCAGAGCACCCCTCCAACTCCTCTAACCTTTGCCAAGTGTCATGCAGAACCAGAAAGCTACAATGGGGTTTTTGAAGGATACAGAAGCCAAATCCAGCAGGCAAACACCATGAATTTCCCAAAGAGCCAACCACAATGTTGTAGACAGGAAGGAAAAAGGACAAGCTGGCACGGCAGCACTTCTTCCCTCTTGCCCCAAACTTCACAATTCTTCATGCAACCAAAGCAGAGGGATTCCAGAAACAGCATTATACAATTGAGAAGCTTCAAATGAACCAACAGCTGCCCAGGCACTGCAGCTGTCCAGCACGTGCTGCTGTTGGAATTAGAAGCACCAAAATCTCTCAGTGCTGTAGAGCTTTGGAATCATTGGTTGGAATCATTGCCAGCGCTGGATGGAGGTGTCACCCATGGCAAAGCTTCCCAGGGCTGCAGGCTGGGAACAGCTCATGCTATTGCAGTGACTGGACTGCAGCGAGGCGGGGAAAAAGCTAAATATACATCCCTGTAAAAAGCAGCACTCCCCTGCACTTGTTCAGCATGCCTCTGCTGAGAGAGCCCTGAACTAGAGAAAGAAAAGCACAACTGGGCACAGCATCCTTGAGACATTGCCTGGGTGAAATGTGCCCACAGTGCTGATCCTGCAGCAGTGCCAGGAGATTCTCTGCTCCTCTGAGAGGTCACATCCATCCCACTGCATCCTGCTGTTATGGCAGGGACCCAGCAGGGCTGGTCCAGAGAGCCCCTGCCAGAGCAGAGCCCCAGGCTGAGCACAGGAATCAGCCATGCAGGGAATTGTCCCAGTGCAGAACAGGCACAAGAAGCCTGGACCAGAAAAGGGTCAGAAATTAATCTTCTTGCTGTTCCCAGGAAGACTGGCCTCACCTCATCCTCCCAGGGAATCAGTAAATAACCAAAAAGAAAGAACAAAAATCCTTTCAATGCCTTGCTCCAGCTCCTCACAGGTTCCCAGCCCAGCACAGTGATGCTCCTTCAGCCATGGGCATGGGCTGTGGATGGAGTGGCTGCCCCAGCAGGGTCCCTGTGAGCTCACACAGCCCTGTCAGGGTCCCTGTGAGCTCAGAGAGCCCAGCAGGGTCCCTGTGAGCTCACACAGCCCAGGCAGGGTCCCTGTGAGCTCACACAGCCCAGAAGGGTCCCTGTGAGCTCAGAGAGCCCAGCAGGGTTCCTGTGAGCTCAGAGAGCTCAGCAGGGTCCCTGTGAGCTCAGAGAGCTCAGCAGGGCTGTGGCTGGAGCTGAGGCACTGCCTGGCAGAGCTCCCCAGGGTGACACAGCTCTGCAGGATGGAGGGAGGAACAGCAGAGCACAAGGCTGAGCTGCACTGGCCAAGCAGGACACACCACCCGAGCACCGAGGCAGCCACAGACACTGCTGCCAGCCCCACGGCAGCAGGAATGGAAATGCTCCTGGTCCCAAAGCTGCCTGAGAGCAGGAGCAGCTCCTGCTGCCTCTGACTGTGCAAGGAGGGCCAGGTGTGACTGGCAGCCGGGTCTCAGGACACCCCAAGCTGCCAGGCTCCTCCAGCACGAGCTCTGCACACCTCGGGCAGGGAGAGGCCATGGAAAGAACCAGGCCATGGAAAGAACCAGAACTCTGCTCCTGCGCAGCCTGAGTGCCATCAGATAGGCAGCATCTAACTGAACTTACCTGAGACTTGGGAGTAAACAGAGTCAAAATCCCCTAGAATTGTGTTTCTCCTACCAATCTTGCTTCTCCAACCCCAACACGACAAGCACATACAAGTCCCAAAATGGCACAGCCAAACTGCTGGGATTCTGGAGCTCAGAACATTGCATAAAGGGATGCTTTTATCTTGTCAGGCCAGGCAGCTCCACTCACACAAAAATTAAAAAAACACCTTAGTGCACAGCAGGGCTGGACCCTAAAAGCCAAATTCAGTCCATCCCCTTGCACCTTGGATGGTTCAGCACGTTCTGGCTGCTCAGCTCCTTGCTCCACAGAGATTCCATCCAGATTCCTAGGGAGGTTCCTCCACACTGCATGGGAGACACAGCCTTTCAGCTGCCTCCATGGAGGAGATTATTTGTCATCTAGGTGAAAAAAACCCAAAAAAACAACACAAACCCCCAGTATTTTTGCATTACAAATGACCCAGCACCTCACACAGCAGATTAGCAAGCTCTGCCGTGATGCAGAAGGGGGATTTGGAAAGGCAGAGGAAATCAATGGGTAGAAATTGGCATTCTTGCAGCTCTAGAAACTTGGAAGAGCCTGGGGAACAGACAAACTATTGACTCCCCTGCATCATCTCAACTGTACTTATTAAATAAGATCCCACACGTAGCATAAACTCTACCATATGTGTGCAGAAGGAAAAACATTTTCAGGATCTTTTATAAATGAAACCTCCACTGTGGCAAAAAAAAAAAAAAAAAAAGTCTTAAGCTAAAACTAATGTATTACAGAGGCTGCAGCTGCACAAACAAATAAATGTTGTTTACCAGCAGAGGTATTTACTTACTGGCAGTCAAGATACGTTGGTTTATAATAAAACGGTGGCATTTTAGATTCATATTTTGCTTTTGCTACATTGTTTCCATTCGAGGCCATAAACTGTAAAAAGAGAGAAAAAAACCAAAGAATTAAGGAAATGTTAACAGTATTTTCTTTCATTCTCTTTTACTTCTACAGAGCAATGAAATTATTGGGATGGGGGACCTGTTCTCTTACTGAGAGGTTTGCCCAGGGCTGTGCACAGAAGGGTTGCTGCAAATAAATATTGGTTATTATTGCTAGGGGTCCTACAGCTTAAAATGATGCTGAGGACACGTCCCAGCCCGACTTGCATGACCCCCACAGGAGCAGGAGGCAGCACACAGTGGCATTTCCCCCTCAGGAATGGATCCCAGGAATCCAAGGTGGGGATTAGGTACCCAGAGGGAAAAACCTCCCACTGGCTTTTAGGCTCCATGTGTTACAGCTCCAGCAGGGTGATAGCCTCTGACAACACATCCTGTGCCCCAGTTCACATCACTTGTGCCAAAAGGATGAGTTTGTTTTTGCAAAGTCATTGCAGCTACCTCAGGAAGGAGCTTGAAGTGCTAGACAAATAAATAAATAAACAAATAAATACATAAAAGTTCTATCTCCCCTGAAAGCCCTCCTTGTCAATAAATAAATATATAATGTTTCTATCTCCCCTGACAGCCCTCCTTTTCTTCTAATACACAAATAGCTGGTTGAGAACTCAGCAAAGAAAACTACTTATTTCCTTATTCATATATTGTGCTTATTGAAATTCACTTTATAGGTGTACAAACCCCATTCTTTTCCAGGCAGCCATGCTAAATACATTTTGGTTTGTGTCAAATGCCAAGCATACAAACAGAACAAGCAGCTAAGCTTTTTAAAATTTTTTTTTATTACTGTCATGGTTTTGAATTTCTCACATTTACATATTCAATCTATTCCCCAAAAAAATATCAGGGAAGGAAAAACCCATGCAACACTAAGGCCTATTGTCAAAAAATACACAACTCCATGGGGCGCAGCTTTCAGAAAAACCTCAGCTCTACACAGAGAAGACAGAAATCAATGACTGGTGGAGTTCTTCATGCCTTTGAAGACATCAGCAGTCAAAGCAGAAAGGTTTCCTGGGTGCCTTTAGCAGCACCACTCAAATCCAGGCTGGTGTGGGGCATAAATAGAGAGAATTTATAATGTCAGGGTTTGGTTTTTCAAGCTGTGAATTCAAGAGGAGCAAAGCCAGAGAGAGCTGAGCTGGGTAGGGGGGATGGCAGACCAGAGGTCTAGTCTAGACTAGAAATAATGTGAGAAACAAGAAAAGACAATTCATTAACAATTAGTATTTTTTAGATGCTATTTCACTGACATCTTTATAGGGGTGGGGAAACCTTCAGAATCCTTCACTAAATGGATGCTCTACTCCAACCAGCACCACCAATCATTGACTCACTCAAATAATGGTGCTGCCCCAAAATTCACTGTTTTGTGTGAAGACATGAAAATTTATTTTCATGTTTGATAAGATGTTTCTTATCTCTGCTGCAGGTTTTTGAGGGATTGGGGTCTGTGATAAGCCAAGGCTGGGGATCATTGGCATTATCCATCACATCCCTGAGCTGAGAATTTGTGCTGGAGAGCAGAGAAGGACCATGATGTGTTTGGGGAGCAACACAGCCACTGACAGCCCCAAAGCCCTTAAAAGGCTCTGGAGAAGCATCCCTGCAGCTGTGGGTGCTGGAGAAAATTTATAATGTGAGGGTTTGGTTTTTCAAGCTGTGAATTCAAGAGGAGCAAAGCCAGAGAGAGCTGAGCTGGGTAGGGGGGATGGCAGACCAGAGGTCTAGTCTAGACTAGAAATATGTGAGAAACAAGAGAAGACAATTCATTAACATTTAGTAATTTCTGCATGCTATTTCACTGACATCTTTATAGAGGTGGGGAAATCCTTCACTAAATGGGTGTTCTACCCCAACCAGCACCACGACCTCCTTCCCACATTCATTATCTAGGCACACTTCCCAAAATCCCTGTCACCATGATATTTTATGAAAAAGCCTTTGCTAGGATTTTTTCCTCCTGAGGAGCTGAAGGCCTCAAGAAAGAAATGTAGACAATAACTATGTGCTGCGGTGGGATGCAACAGGTGCAGCTGTGATTGGTGCATGTTGGTTGTTTCTAATTAATGGCCAATCACAGATGCAGCCACATCAGATTCTAAGAGTCAAGAGTTTTTGTTATTCATTCTATTCTTATTCTTTCTAGCTTTCTGATAAATCTTTTCTCTCTATTCTTTTAATACAGTTTTAATGTGTCCTTTTAATATAATACATATCATAATATAATAAACCAGCCTTCTGAACGGAGAGTCAGAGCTCGCGTCTCCACACATAGAACATCAAACACAACAAATCCCATTTCTTGTGGAAAGAAGGGCATCTCCAGGGAGGGTTCCACAGGGAAGAGCCCAAAGGCCTGGTCTGGCCCCTGGCAGGGCAGGGGCACCTACCTCCACCTGGGCATCGTCCCAGTCGTCCAGGCGCACCGACTTGACCCGGCTGACCTGCGGGATGCCGCGGTGGATGCCCGAGCAGCTCAGGCAGATGAAGATCCCGAGGCTGTGCGACGCCCAGTCCGGGTCTGCAAGCAAGAAGGAAAAGGGAGAATTGTACTTGACTGATCTTTTGGATGCAGGGAAGCAGGAGGAAGAGACAGGGCGTGGCAGGGGAGTTCAGGAGTCAACAGGTCTGATGTACCCGAGTCTAAAAGCATCAGATAAATAGACAAGGAAAATAAATGTTCTGTTGATAGGAATACAAATTAAACTAACCATTAGCAGATCTGCAATCCCCAATGCAGCTGTTATTCTCCAAACCCCAATATACAGACAGCTACATGTGCCCAAGACCTCCATAGCTCACTCCATGCTCACACAAAGAGAAGAGGGGAATATCCTTCTTTCATGAGGAAATTCCACCCGAACACTGCATGGAACAGAAACTACATCAGCCCAGGGAAGACACTGTGCTGCTCCCTTCTAATTTATTTATTACATGTGCTCCACACAGAGACTTTCCTCCCACAGCTGCAGCTCCCACAGCAGCCCAGCCCTCCATGCCAGGAGGTTTCCAGCCCTTGCCTCAAAGGAAAAATGCTGCCAGTGGTAGCTCTGTACTTTCTCTGAGCAAAACCACGCACTGTTTACAGCCCCGGGCTGACATCTCACACAAAGCACTGTAAACACAGTCCCTTGCCTCCAAATTCCTCCCTGGGAGAAGCACTGCCCGAAGCAGGGAGACAGAGGGACAGGAGGAGGGCAGGGGCCAGGAGCAGGACACATCCAGCAGTGTCCCTGGCACTGCCTTGCCAAGAAAGCCAATACAGGGATCTTTGTTTGAACTCCAAGGCAAATGTCAGCGCCTGCGGCTCCAGCTGCGCCCCAGCAGAATGAGCTTCACTGCAGGTCACCCAGCCAGACAAAAACCCTCCATCCTCCCCAAATCCCCGGGCTGGGAGCCCCTCAGCTGACCCATGGCATCAGGCTGGGTAAGGGCAGGTCTTCCCCTCCCACAGCCCCTCATCATCCTTTTATTCCCCCACTGTGATCACCCTGAACCTCACTGCCCACAGCACAGCAATTATTTACACAAGGCAAGGGAACGTGCTTCCTCCTCCTAATCCATATTTAATGCCCTGGCTGTGTCAGGGCAGGGAGCAGGCTGGCATGGGGCAGCTCAGCTCCTGAGGGGTAACCAAGGGCTGCAGGGACAGCCACCAGCCCCATCCAGCACACCCTAGGGAAGAGCAATTCAGCTCTCCAGAGGCGGCTCTGCTCAGATGAAAACCCCAGTGCTAAATGAGGATTCTCACCAGACACAGCTGGGTGCCCACATGGGAGAGGGGAGCAAATTCCCTAGCTGACAGCAGACACAAAGGTGGGGTTTTTCCTATTTCACATGGTGTCCTGTCCTCACCAGAGACCCCAGTGCTACAACTCAAGCCTGGTGATGGTAGTTTGTACAAAACCAGTCAGTTCAAGTACAAAACCAGTCAGGTTGATCTAAGGGCCTGGTGCTGCCCACCCTGCTGCTTCCACAAGCACTGGGTGACTCAGCTCCACGCCCCATCCCAGATTATGCCCCCCACTCATTCCCACCTCAAAGACCTCAAAGCCAGTTATTGGGCTGTAGGCTGGCAACAAGAATCAAGAGTTTTGCATGCTCAGGCACTTTCTGTGCTCTAACTCATAATGCCATCCTCTCTCATCCCAAAACATGTTTGTAACCAAAGCCTGGAACCCTCCAAACTTCCTGCCAGAAAAACATCCACAGGTTCAGCACTGCTGAGGGGTCCCAAAGGGTGCAGGTCAGGCAAGGTGACAGCAGCAGGTCTCATGTTCACGGAGCCATCACTGCCCTTAATGCAGAGGATCAGACACATGGTCAGAGGGTCCAGAGGACAGAGCTGTGGCAGTGTGAGGAAGCTGTGGCAGTGTGAGGAAGCTGAGGCAGCAAAGCTTGGAGCTGGGTCCCTGGGCTCAGCACAGCCACTCCAGGATAACTGAGCTTCAATCCTTCCCAGAGCAATGAGATCTGATCAAAGCACTGCCCAACCCAGGGAAACAGGTCTCAAAGTATGCACTGGCCAATAAAACATGATTTATTGGGAGTCCCAATGCCTCTTTAATGTTACCAGATTTATCTCGGGCATGCAGGTGGATTTCTTCATGCTGTCTGCAGTTTTGTGGAGTCAGGCTTCCAAAGTCCTGCCCAGGAGGTAACCCCTCCCCTGCCTGCAGTGCTGAGTGTGACAGGACCAGAAGACTGCACACCTTCCCCAGCCTGGGAGGGGGACACAATCTGCTGGAGAAACATCCTGCAAGAAGATCCTGGAGGAGACTCCAGCTGCAGTGGCCACCAAGTCAGCTCATATCCAAGCTGTCTCTCCTTGGCATGTGCAAACAGCACCTCAAGCAACAGGTTTCAGTCACACCTGGGCTTTAGAGCATCCTCCCCACACCAACAGGCTCTTCTGCAGACCAGACTCTTAAACATGCTTCCCCCTGCTCCACACCTTGGCAAGCCTTGTCTAAATAAGCAAACAAGAGCTGGATTACATCCCAGGGTACATACACACACCTGCATCCCATCGTGCACACAGGGTCACCCACGTGTGGCTGCCAGAGGGTGACAGTCCTTCAGAGGAGCAGAGACAACGGGGTCAGTGGTGACCCAGCCCTGAAGGGATGCTCTCAGCTTGTTCTTATAACCCACAGCCAGTGGCCATCTCCTCCTGCTCACCTTCCCTTCAGCATTTCCCCTCCTGCCTAGACCCAAATCCGTGCCCACCCAACACCACCAGTGCCCCACACAGATTTCAAGGAGCACCACGACAGAGATGCACATTTCACCTGCCCCACCAGACCTGCCCCCAGCCACTCACAGCTCAGCCAGGTATTAATAATTAATAATATCCTCCTCACTGCTCTTCTGGTGTCAGAAAGATGTCTTTTGTGGCAAGGGTGGGTGGAGGAACTGTGGATGCTCAGCTGGTTGTGTGATGATCTCCAGTCACAGCCCAAAACCACCCACATGTGGCAGCTGGGTTTAGTCCCAAAGGAAACACCAGGCAGGAGGAGAGCTCAAAGACCTCAGGTACTGACTTAGCCCCATCCAAAAAATTGCTGGGTAGTGAGAACCCCCAGAACAAACTGATCTGCCAGGGCGAGTCTCTCTGAAATGCCACTGTCACCATAATTTGAGATTTCTCACGGCTCTTGCTCTCCTGGCTGAGGACATCTAACAGAAAGCAAGGCAGCCCAAACCTTTGCAGGCTTCAGCTGAAAGCCAAAAGGAATTTCTCAGCATCATCTGCACAAACCAAAGGATTACAGAGCCATGCAGGCCCTCGGGCTCGTGCTGCCCTGTGACCTCCCCGTGGCCAGGAAGCAGGGGGTGGAGGACTCCCCAACTCCAGCTGCTGGGGACTGCCAACGCTGCTTCCCCTTGTCCCCACTCCCTGCACTCGTGACCCCGTTTTCAAAGAAGCCCAGGGAGGAGACAGCCACACCCCATGTCTGCAGGGACTGGTGACACAGCAGCCAGGGCTGCAGGGATGCTTCTCCAGAGCCTTTTAAGGCCTTTGGGGCTCTCAGAGGCTGTGCTGCTCCCCAAACAGATCATGGTCCCTCTCTCTGCTCTCCAGAACAAATTCTCAGCTCAGGGACATGGTGGATAACGCCAGTGATCCCCAGCCTTGGCTTATCATGTCGCTCTGATTTTTTAAGATTCTCTAAACCTTCTGACGTTTACATCCTTGTAGCAAACTTTCTCACACACTTTCTGTAAATAACTTACTGTTTTGCATTCTTTTATAGAGGAGAAATTCAATGGACTGTTGGTTTGTCCAGTGTCATTGGAGAGGTGGCACTTTCACCCCCCAAGCCACTGTCACTTTTGGAAATCTGTAAGTGTTGGAGTCACAAAATAAACTTCCCCTTTTACCTTGAGAACAGCAGCGTGATTCGCATCGTGTCCTACAGTGACATCATCACAGACCCCAGTCTCTCAAACAACTGCACCAAAGATTAGACAACATCTTATCAAACATGAAAATAAATTTTCATAAGTGTCTTCACACAAAACAGTGAATTTTGGGGCAGCACCATTAGTTTAGTGAGCCAGTGACCCCGGGGTGCACGGCTGGCAAGTGGAGGCCTCCACAGAGAGGTGAAGTCCACCTTGCTGCTGGACACTTCAACAGCTGCAACACCTTCTCCATGCTGGGCATTACTGAGAGCTCAGTAATTTTATTATTCTGTCTGGGCACCTGCCAAAAAAGTGCAATGAAATGGCAATATGTCATGACCTGGGCTTTTTGGGCATTGCTCGAAAAAGATGATTTTTTTCCTAAGCCTCCCGAATTTTGAGCAAACAGCAGTGAAGCCTAATGAAAACTCTCCAGCATGCCTAAGTTCCACACAAATTACTTTATTCCATTATTTCAAGCCAAAAGGAATAAAAATGAACGAGGAACAACGGGAACATTAAACCAAATACACTGCTGTAAGTGCAGAAAGACTCTTATCCTGAATGACCAATTCCAGCCCTAAAAGGCTTTCACTGCCCAGTGTGGTAGAGATTCCTGGTAACTTATAAACAGATCATAATGCCTTTCAAAATAAAGACGTGAGTCAGCTTCATTTTAAAAATTAAAGAAACAAACAAAGCTAAACTAAGCTCAGGAGAAGGGCACTGGGCTGGTATTTTCCCATCTTATTCATCTGAAAGCAAAGGCAAAGCCAGAGATTAGAGAAGCACCCAAAACAAAACTAAACCACTTGGGCAACACAGCTAAATTCAGAAATTAACTTGTCCCCCCTGCCCTTTTTACCACCACAAGCCTCAGGAAAAGCCAGCACAGTGAACCATGAACACCACAGCTTGAACCCAGCATTCCTGAACTTGGGGAAAAAGAAAAAAATGAAGTCTAGACACAGAAAATATTATGGAAGAAAAAACAACATAAGACACAGGACAACTTATAGAAACCAGAGATGAGAAGCTGGATGGTAATGGAATTTTTAAAAAAATAAATAATCAGTATTTCCTGTATCCAGAATATAAACATGGGGTTCCAGT